ACAAGTAGATGTACAGTCAAGGTATAGTTGCTAGAAAATCGTGGTTTTATTGTAGCTTCAATTTGCCATTTAGAAATTTTTGGTTCTCCATCTCCCAATCCAGAGATGTCTGCTCGTATTCTTTTTCTTGGTAAGTTTAAGAGTTGTGCTGCTTCTTCGGTGATAAAGGATGACTGCGACCCCTGATCAACCAGCACTCGTAGAAGTTGGAACATTCCATTGGAAGTTTGTACATTTACCATAGCCGTAGGTATTAACACTGTATTATCTTCTCTTCCTATGTGTGTCGACGTAGATACAGGTTCATATTGAGGAAGCTGACTGGCCACTATGGTAGTATTGGTCTGGGATCGTAAACTGTTAACAGGTCTCGCAACTCTAACATGTTCTGAAACCCTTGACTGTTCTTTTCTGTCTTTATGCAGCATACTGTGATGGGACATACCACAGGTGCGGCATCGGAGTGAACTATGACATTTTTCCTTTGAATCATGTGTCATACAGTTGTAACAAAGTCGATTGTTTCTGATAAATTGGTTTCTATCAGCTATAGACAATGTTTTAAATTTTATGCATTGGTATATGCTATGTAACTGCTTACAATACACGCAGTCTTGATTTTTTGGCTTAAAATCAGTCTGGGAGAACCCATTTGGCTTCTTAACGGTACTAGATTTTTCTAGTGCTTGAAATCGTCTTTCGATGAACTTCATGACATCTTCAAAATGTGGTATCTCATTTGGTTCGGTTAGGCTTTGCTCATAAATTCTGTTTGTTTCTGAATCCCACTTTCGCATTATGATACGTGTTAGTAATGGACCCCAATAATCCGTCTTGACTTCCAAGTTCTTTATGGCTTGAAGGCTTTCAGTGGTTACATCATGTAATAGCTTGATATCATTCGGCGATTCTCGTTTGGATACTGGTAAATCTATTATTCTATCTAATAATGTGGATAATATCTGGCGCTTGTTTTCATATCTATTCTGTAATGTGTTCCAAGCGATCTCATAGTTATCTTCAGTAATTTTAACGTGCTGTATTAACTTGAAGGCTTCACCTTTTAAACTGGTTTTCAGATATTGCATCTTTTCTGTTTTTGATAATGATGTTTCATGTATAACCTTTTGAAATATATCATTGAAGGAACACCAATTCTCGTAGTTGCCATCAAAGAAGGGAATATTTATTTTTGGTAATACCACATTGGATTTAATACTTTCTAGAGTATTACCTGAATTTTCTTTTGCTTTTGTATTCAGTTCTTCCATTATTATTTCATATTGATTTTCCATACTTATATATCTGTCCATAACAAAATACTCATGTGTAAAACGCGCTTCGTATACCATAATTTCCTCATGTAATTCTAATATTGCATCCCATTGTTTTTGCACTTTGTTGGTTAATGCCTCATACCTGTATTTTGTTTTACCTTGGGTTGCTTCTTGTTGTATTTGTTGGATAGTGCGTTTGAATTGTTCCATTTTTACCATTAGTTTTTTGATTCTAAGTTGCTGTTCCACTTCTTCATTACTATTTGGTTGTATATTTGGGTCTGCTTTGGAACAATCTTTCAGATATTCCTTGTATTCATCGTGTTTCCCTTTTATTTGATCAAAATACTGACTTGTAAAATACACATGATCGGAGAGACCTATTTTTAAGGCTTTGAAATGGTTTTCATTCGCTTGCTCCAATAAGTTCTCTCTTTCTTCAGTTTTATTTGCAATATACTCTTCTGTTTTTCTAGATGACGAGTCTTTTTTGGCATTGCTAAGCAATTGTACTATTTGCTTACCAATTTTTTCTTGATCTTTTGCTATTTTGTCAATTTCTTCGCTTTTTGTAGGCATTTTTTTTTTCTGTACTATTGATTGACTGGACTATTAATTTAATATTTTTTACTTTTTTGCTCGAAGGACCAATGAATAATTTGTATTAAAAAATAAGGGCTATTTTTTAATAATTATTATATTAATTTTAAGGATGTTAGATAGACGAAACGTGGGGTTAAAAAGCATTTATTTTTAAAAAAATTAACATTTTTATAAACTATTATTATTAAACAAAATTTCAACAATATTAAATATAAGATAACAACTTTGCTAATTAATTAAACAACGAACTCGATGTTTTCGCTGAGTTGCAATTTTCAGGTTCGCCGACCAGAAACGTTCTAATTTTAACTGTTTAATTTATGGTGAAATAAATTAAACTTTGATGTACAGGATGTTATTTTATTATGTTCTGATTGAACATAAAGTAAGGTTTAACCGCGGAATCGCGCCATTTTAAAGACCTAAAAAACGTATTTGGAGGTCTTGCTATGTAATGATTTTTTAGTTTTTTAAATTATAATAATGTATTGAATCATTCACACTAAAAATTATATCTAGATTTTCGTGTTAAATATTGGTTTTTGTCATTTTACTTAAGTAAGGTTTATCCGCGGTATCGCGCCATTTTAAAGACCTAAAAAACGTATTTGGAGGTCTTGCTATGTAATGATTTTTTAGTTTTTTAAATTATAATAATGTATTGAATCATTCACACTAAAAATTATATCTAGATTTTCGTGTTAAATATTGGTTTTTGTCATTTTACTTAAGTAAGGTTTATCCGCGGAATCGCGCCATTTTAAAGACCTAAAAAACGTATTTGGAGGTCTTGCTATGTAATGATTTATTATTTTTTTGAGTTATAATAATGTATTGAATCATTCACACTAAAAATTTTGTATGAATTTTCGTGCTAAATGTGTTTTTGTTGGTCTCTTAGTTCTTATAGTCGTTTGACGACAAAACACCTGACTTTAAAAAGACCAAAACAATATATTTTGAATCATTGCTCGGCCATAATTTTTTGTTTAATCAATTAACAAAAACCTAATGAATATTTGGTATAAACATTATATTTATAACCGCATTGTAAATGTGTTTGTTCCGCCTCCGTCTTTGTGTAAGATTATCTTATTTTAATTAATAATTCAAATTGAATTAATCCATTGTTTTCAATAAATACACTAATACTTATTTATTTCTAAACTTTCATGATACTAAAAGTGCACCTAAACCAAAGATTTTGCCAAATAACAACATCAAAACCTTTGAGGACCGCCGCGCGGTTTGTCTGCTAGCTTCAGCCTCATTAATAACAAATATAGATAGATACCTAATTATTTATCTGAATTGTTCATTGTAATGAAGATAGATAATTGTTTATCTGAACTGTATCATAATGAATTGTATTATAATGAACTGTTTCATAATCAACTGTATCATAATGAAGTGTATCATAATGAACTGTTCATTATACTGAACTGTATCATCCCAGATAGCACAAAAATGTCCTGCTTGAACATTCAGGACATCCTTAAAACGTCCATTTCACGGACGTGGACGTCTTATGGGCGTCTTTGGAACGTCCATTGTTTAATAATCAGGATGTCTTAAGAACGTCCATTTAAGGACATTTTCAAAAGCTCAAATGGGGAATAACAGGACGTAAGGAAATTAGTGAAAATAATAAATAATTTCAAAAAAATTTATTTGGAAACAAATAACCTATAAATAATAAAATTATTAAAACTTTTTCGTCAAATTCATCCCGTCTCTCCTCTACTTTGCTCTTTTCAACCATGCCTGGATTGACAGCAGTTGTTTTTTTTTCTTGATTTAACCATATTTACCTTCTCAGTTGAACCTGAAAATAATTTAATCGCTTATTCAAAATTAAAGGCAGATCAATATGAAAATACAATCTGTTTGTTTTAGTTTGCCCTGCTAGACATTATGAATTCACTAACCTTTTAGCTTTGTAGTATTCACTGGAAAACTCCTCTACTTTGCTCTTTTCAACTATGCCTGGATTGACAGCAGTCAGTTTTTTCTTGATTTGGCCATATTTGCCTTCTCAGCTGAATCTGAAAATAATTTAATCGTTTATTCAAAATAAAAGGCATATCAATATTAAAATCTAATCTGTTTGTTTAAGTTTGCCTTGCTAGACATTATAAATTCACTAACTGTATCATAATAAACTGTTCATTATAATGAACTGTACCATAACGAACTGTTCATTGTAATGAACTTATCATAATGAACGTTCATTGTAATGAACTGTATCATTAGATTAGATTTAATTAGGACTGTGGGCCACGTGGCCTCCCCCACCTCGACCTTTTCAGATCTATTGTGGGTATCCTTGAATCGTTATTTAGAGTAACTTGTCTAATTCGGTCTTTTGTAGTAGACTCCATAGACTGGGAAATAGTTCTCCGGTATAGCTAGTTGCCCTTGGTTTTTCTTCTCCAAGTGTAAGGAATCTCAGTCTTGCTAGACCTTCGCAGTAGCACAATACGTGTACTGCCGTTTCCTCCTCTTCCTGACAGAACCGGCACAAGGTCTCTTCTGTCAGACCAATATTATACATATGTTTGTTAAGCCTACAATGCCCTGTTAATAGACGTACTAGTACTCTAGTATTTTTACTATTAAGGCTTAGTAGATGCTCGGTGAGTTTAGCCGATGGTCCTTTTATGAACTCTTTGGCCTGTCTCTGTCCTGGAGAGTTTTTCCACCACTCCTGAGATTTTTTAAACATCCACTGCTTTGTGCATGTTCTGAAGGGTTCTGGGCCAATAAGAGCCTTTGAGACTCCTTCTCGCGCTAGTAAATCAGCCTCTTCATTTCCCTTATGTCCTCTGTGGCCTGGTACCCAGGCTAAGGTTAGTCTGTTTTAACTGCCCAGCTCTGTTAGGGCTTCCAAACAGTCCCACACAAGCTTTGACTGTACCTGCATGGAACTGAGTGCCTTTAACGTCGCCTGACTGTCTGAGTATATGACAATGGTTTTGTATCATAATAAATTGTATCATAATGAACTGTATCAATATCACTATATTTTAGTAGTCCACGTTACAATGTGTTATCATAACTGATATAAATTCGATGGAATATTCTTCTTCTTTTATTTTTATCTACAATTATTTCAAACAGGTTGTTCCACATGGCAGTGTTGCATCCGATAGTTTAGAATGTTCAAAGGTAGGAACATCAATTTTGAAACAAGGCGGTAATGCAATTGATGCCGCTATAGGAACTGCTTTTTGCCTTTCCGTTGCAACTCCACATCTCACAGGATTAGACGCGTAAGTATTTGTTATATCAATCTTTAATATAATTAGTAATTTTTTTTTATTACTGTGTTTTAGAGAAGGTGTTATACTTATATATAATCATAAAACGAAAAACAATCCAGTAGTGATAGACTTTAGTCATGCAACTGTAGCATCAAAAAATTTACCAACTCTAGTTATGGGATTAGCTTATTTACATAAAAACTTCGGCAAGTTAGAATGGGAAACATTGATAAATCCATCAGTAGTTTTAGCAAGGTAGGTTTATTTTTACAAATTGTCTATGTGTATTTGCTAATGTAATGTACAAAAATCTGAATATTTTAGAAAGGGTGTATTGGTTTCAAAAATGCTGGTTCAAGCAATAACTAATTCTCATGCTGAAGACTTGTTTGGACGATTAGAACCTGGACAATTTCTTATTCAGAAAAAATTAGCTACAAGACTTGAACATATTGCTAACATATCTAATCCAGGTAATGCAAATAATCTTCAAAAGTAATGTTTTCCCTGTTTACTAAAAATTAAAAAGAAGGGATGTCTTTTTTGCTTCAGTTTCCAAGGATGCTAGTATATATTCTCTCCAATAATATCCCCGTATCATGTGAGGAAATAATTGTGTCACTTCAGTAATAAGTAATCTTAAGATCTGTTCCAACAACAATAAGAAACCAGTCACTGACACCAGGATTCTGCGCAGTATATAATTTGGCGGTCGAAATATTTAACCGCGCAGAATCATGGTATCAGTGACTGGTTTCTGATCGTTCTTGGAACCGACTTATTGGACAGATTTCTGTCAATTAAAGCCTTGGTTTCTTTGAACACTTCGTCGCGGTGAGCGGACAGTCCGTCAACCGTCGCGTTTTGACGATTTTATCCAAGCAGAGTATTTAAATGGGAATGGTTTTCTTAAATCCGCTTAGTTGAACAGGACGGCGTCATGCCGCTGATTTGTCGCGAAGAGTCGGTTGATATCTGTTGAGTTTGATATCCGCGGAATCGTCGGCGTGTGCGGAGACTATATTTTATTAATTTTAAAACAATGAGTGACAAATTAACATACATATGACATCATGACTTTATTTTTAGAAAGTCTTAAATACTCCCTAAATTTGATTTCATTTCCAAAAAGCCTCCACTGCACAGTGATATTAAAGGCACCTTCCGTATCGCGACAAAAAAACAACTCATTCACTGGCTTATTGGAAACTTTGACGGTTGCAATTGCCAGTTCCTCTTGTTCTTTCTCTTCCAACAATAATAACAAAGAAAACAATTTATTTGCAACAATTTTAGTACCTTTCGTTTACATTCATAATACATAAACAGCACGTACAGACATAGAGAAAGTATCATTTTCTATATTTTTTAACAAACCACCTCGGGCGAAAATTGCTGTCCTCAGCGGTCGACGGACTGTCCGCTCACCGCGACGGAGTGTTCAAAGAAACCAAGGCTTAAGGTGGCAGTTTAAAACGACCTCCTCAGAGATCAGAAACCGTTACATATCTTATATAAAAGCCACTAAAAAATGCAATTTTCTTTTAATTTCTTGTTTTACACGTAGGACATGGGCAATGTTTTGAAGATATTGCAAGGCATCCTTTGTTGTAAAACATACTTTGATGTGTGTATTATCTTTAAAAATATACATTCATTTCAATGATTCGTTGTATGATTTGATGGATGACTTATTTGTTAGCAGTAATTTAATTTCTGCATCCATATTTTAAACCCAGTTTTCCCCACTCATAAGTGAAGTGACACCATCAATCATCTGTATTAATATAAATTAGTTAGAACCCGATTTCTAAGTAGTCTCACTTCTATGGTCAATTTGGTCAAGTCGAGCGGGGTGTAATATTTTTCAATTGTTTAGTATTAGTTTTTCCTATTTTAAGGAAACACGCACTTTATCCAATAAAGTAAAGACGACATAAACACTATTTTACGATATGACAGATGGACGCACTTCGAATGACGGAAAAGTGTAATGAAAATGGAGACTTGAGTTGACTTTGATTTATTTGAAGTCAATAATGTTATATTTGAAAACTGACGGAATTAAAATGATTTTATGATACAAAATTAATATTTTACAAAATTGTTAAAATTTCTGTGGACACAACGTGTGATACAGAAGAGCTTTGAACTACCAGTTGCAAGCAAATTAATATATGTAAATAAAACATAATAATTAAATTCTTACACATTAAGATATAAAAAATATTCATTCAATATTCATTAAATTCAAAAAATGGATTCGGCTTCTGCGTGTCTAAATCTTTGAGGATTCTTATCTTCCAAGTTTTCTAATTGTACAATTAATAAGAATTGAAAGAAATTCTCAGCTGTTAGATACTTTTGTAAGTATTAATAGAAAGTTACCTAGATTTTGTTAAAATCAATCAATATTAATCGTCCTAAAAGTGACATATAAGTGACATTGGCTAAATCCTTGAAAACATGCACGTTTTATCAAAAATGTGTGAAAAATTCCGCTCGCTGTAAAACACCCGGTTTAAAAACGTACACGCTTTTAAAACAAATGTCGAGAATAGCTCGCTAAAGCGTATACGTTTTTTAGAAAACAATAGTCGAGGATAAGGAACCTTATTTTTAAACCACAGTTCATCTTTTTTGTTGTCTATAATAGTACATTATCATTTTAGAAAGTTTATACAGTGATCATCATAAGTCTTACCCCCCCCCCCCTAACTAACTCGTTACTGGAGTCTTGTTAGGAAAATCGCCGAGACAGGTCGATTTTTGTTTTCTACAATGTATATTTTGTATGAATAGTTTACCCTTAATTTTATCCCTTACTGGAGGGGAACAACCCTTTCGAAAAATTTAAATGGCATGGGGTGGTGAGTGATAGCTCATTTGAAAGGGGGTTTTATTCTCTATTCAACCGTGCAAAAAAAATTTAAATTTGCTTCATTACGTGTTGATTTATTAATGTTTAAAAATAACAAAACCTCACAAAATAAGAAAGCAACTAAACTAATATTGACCTTCTAATGGCAAAAAGTCTTACTTCACGTCTGAACCAAAACCGAAATTATGCAGGGCCGAATTTTAATTCTAAGGATGAGTGCGCTACGTTAATTTCCGTTATTCTGAAACAACAATTAGTCGAGAATTAATGAAGCAAATTTCAAATTTTTTTACATGGTTGAATAGAGAATAAAACCCTCGTTCAAATGAGCTATCACTCACCACCCCATGCTATTTAAATTTTTCGAAAGGGTTGCTCCCCTCCAGTAAGGGATGAAATTAAGGGTAAACTATTCATACAAAAATGTACACTGTAGAAATCAAAAATCGACGTGTCTCGGCGATTTTCCTAACAAGACTCCAGTAACGAGTTAGATAGGGGGGGTAAGACTTATGGTGCTCACGGTATAATGATGATAGATGATATTAAATATTAAAAAACTTTGAACTGATACGAACGTCGCACACTGATTTAAAAGGTTAATCTAGATACCTATGCAAAAATCGTCTTAAAGTGGTAATTAAGTTTTTCAGACGAATATTTTGTGGAATCTTTTTAGTTACATAGACTAGTATTAATATTGCATGAAGAGGTCTGTATGTGTACAGGGTGCGACAAAAATTAAAGTAATATGAACAAGTTTAGAATAAGAATAGGTAAATATAAAAAAAAATGCGAAAATACAATGAATATAAAAAATATTGTCAAACCAATACCTATTCAAGTGGGACACCCAGATACTTTTAAATCAAAAGAGAATATATAAGAATTAAATTACAATTATTCGCTCTCGTTTTGATGGTTAACTTCATTGTCGTTTTTATTGCCTAATCTTCAGTCAAATAAATTTATTTTAATAGAGATTTAACATTATTGTCAAGAGATTTCGTATTATATGACCGAACCAAATGTCTGTTGTGGAAAATTGTCGAAATTAGAAGAACAAACTCTTTGTACCTTCGAAAATCCTTATTTCGCGCTTCTAATGATTCCTCCTAAAACATACCTATCGGCAGTATTGCAGCTTCCATAATATATACTCCATGTAGAAGTTTGTGTACACTAGAAGGCATATTGTACCACGGATACAACTCTACATATTTTTCTGCGGTGACTTTTGCGTAATTAAGCTTCTGAATCTACGGCATATCCACAGGAAATTGTTTGAAGTATTACGTTAAAGCGATTTTAAGCCTTCGTCAAGTCTTTGTCAAGTCCCGTGATCAAAACTTGAAGAGTATGTTGGTCAAAAAAGCGACTAGGACTATTACCATCATTAGTGATGCCATAGCCGGGTTTGAGAATATCGACTAATAATCCCATTTTTATTCTTAGATTATTTTGGATGTATTTTTTTGTATGATTAAATATCTGCTTATCTTCTTCACTTCGAATTTGCCATTTTTTTACAGGCAGACGATATGCGATGTGAAGAAGAGATTCAAAGGATCTTATCCACGCGTGCAGTGTTGTCAGGCCATATTCATATTTGCTTGTGTCTGAAGAAAGTTGATATATTATTTGTAAGTTATTCATATTTTTCGGAGTCACGGCACATATTGCACAGGCTTGATTAGACGTGTCGGTAATTACCCCAAACATTTTCCCATCAATCATTGTTAGTTTAAAATACGGAGTAATTTTAAATTGTTTTGCACAAATAAAAACTTCAGTAGGTATTATGGTTTCAATTTGTTTCTCTACATTTTCTATTTCTTTTTTAGACAATACATCAGTTTCTTTTTTAAACAAAAGTTTAATGGGTCTACAGAACCTCGTGGAAGATGATTTTGGGTTGTGCCATATAATAACATTAGTTTTAGTTGCTTGAAGTTGTAGGGGAACAAGATACTCTGCAAACAAAGATGAATCAGTTTTATCTTCTAAATTTCCTTCCCAAAACTTCTATCGCAACACCCATTTAAAAATGATTGTCAGACCATGCGGTAAATCGTCGATGTTTTGAGATAATACATCTTGCACCATTACTAGTCTAGTTATGGTATGGTTAACCAGGGCCTGCACTGTCACCTCAGCGGATATTTCGGCAATTGTGATGAATTCCACCGCAGGATAGCAATCTTTTTTTGCTTGTAATAATATATGGTAAGGCGGTTATATATTAGCATGTGTCGCCTTAGCTCCACTTTGCATTAAGATATATGTATGCTTGGTAAAATGGCCATCAATATATAAGTAGTGCCAGTGCTTCTTTTAGTGTATACTAACCGTTCTGGAGGTTGAAACTTCCTGTACTATTTTGGCGTTATCTCTTTGGCCATACAAATGCAAACTTTTTTCAGCTGCACACATCAATTCTTCCAGCGAGTAATTATTTAGATACTAATGGATACATTTTTCGTTTCTTTGTTGATGAGGATGCTTCTTGAAAATCTGTTGATGGTCGGCCTCTTCCTTGTTGGCTACCAGATGGATTAGCAGTTTTATGATGTAAAACAAAAGTGACATTTTTGTCTAACCATTTAGACTCACGCTCATAGAAATCTCACGCTTCAAAAATATTGAAAGCATACGGTTACATTCTGCCCACTTTTTTGATAATTTAGTATTAAAATCTATATTTTTAGCTTAATATTGCGTTCTTGATCGCAACTTTCCTCTCTGAGTCCGTAAGTGGTCCATATATACGAAAGCACAGCCGAGTTTTTCAAAGTTAAGGTGATTACAGCATCCCCTTATAATTTTTGGACAAGGATATCTCAAAAAGTAATTTTTTTAAAGTAAAATTTGGCAAAATAAATTAGGCAATAATATCTAGAATATGCATATTTTTTAAAGTTTTAATTTCTTCCAGTTTCCGAGAAAAAAAATCAAAGGGTCTTAAATTTTGAAATATCATAATGAAAATAAATGCATTTGTCAACAGCACTATTATTATTATAATACCGAAATTTTAACTCTTAATGTATTGTTAATGATTTTTTAAAATTTGCCAAAATTAGTGGCTAAAACGCCTCGTTAAGTGCTGCCTTCTGTTATAACGCGACTGTAACTATCGTACCGTACATTCTCTGTCATCATTCGTTTCCTGAAATGATTTACACCAGTTTACACAAGAAGATAGCACTTAACGTGGCGTTTTGGCCACTAATTTTGGCGAATTTTAAAAAATAATTAACAAGACATTAAGAACTTAAATTCATGAATTATATTAAGAATAGTGCTGTTGAGGAATGCATTTATTTTCATCATATTTCAAAATATAAAGTTCTTTGATTTTTTTCTCGGAAACTGGAAGAAATTAAAAATATGCACATTCTAGATATTATTGCATAATTTAATTTGCCAAAATTTAAATTTAAAAAAAAATTACTTTTTGAGATAACCTTGTCTGAAAATTATAAGGGGGTGCTGTAATCACCTTAACGATTCTTCGACACGCCAGACATCAAACAGCTCTCGCCACGTTATGGAAACCGTAACTGAAAAAATCAATAACTTAAACGACTGCAAGTATCTGCGGATAATTTCAGTTTAATTTGATACTGAAGAAATAACAAAAAATCATATTGTAAATAAACACGAATATACAGGGTGTCCCGAAATTAGACGGTCATATTTTAACAGCGTAATCTACATCCTAAAACAGGAGTAAAAGTTCATATAAACATAGGTCCGAAAACGTTTCGTTTTTGAGATACAGTGTGTTACAAGTGAAGTCCTGATGGCACATTTTTGTAAATATTTTCTAAAATTTCTTTAGTCACCGGTTTTCCAAAAGTAAAAAAAATCAAATTTCTGATTCCACAGGCCTACTAATTATTGTTTACACTTTCGAATAAGATAACATCTACTTATCATGAAATTTTCAAATGCTTTTTTCTTGAAAATGGTGCGTCCTAGCGAAATGCAGCAAAAGTAGCTTTATTATAAAGAAAACATTGGTTTTCCAAATTTTATAGTCAAAAATGCTAAAAACTGTCAACAAAAAAAACTTAGGGCAATTTTACCCTAAGCCCCCCTAATTTACCCACCTATAAAGATGCTCAAAAACTGAGGTTTAGTCCATTAAATAGAGCGTAAAAAGGTAAATGCTTACCTTTTTAGAAATGCTTCTACCAAATTTCACTTAGTTATCTTTAAACGTTTAGAAAATATTTACAAAAGTGTGTCATCAGGACTTCACTTTTATCACCCTGTATCTCGGAAAAGAAACGTTTTCAAACCGGTAAGGTCCCACATTCATTTTTTTTTATTTATAAAAATCTTAGATAAGATAAAAATATAACTTCTCCTAATTATAATTTTCTCCCAAACAATAGTAAATTAATATACCTAACTAAAATTATGTAAAAACAAGACCTACCATTAGGCGGAATATCCATACTTAGTTTATAAACAAAAAACGCACTTAAAATGTTGATGAACATGCGATTCACTTAAATGAATATATAATAAACGTTAAATATGTTTTATACTGGCGTCGTACTTGTCACGACTGCCTCCAATTTTTATCAGCGCCTACTTCTTATTTACTTGGTTCTTCTTGTACTACCAAATTTTAAATTTTGTGGCTAATAAATTTTTGATTTTAGTATAGCTGGATTAGGAATTTAAACCAGTGTGCGAGCGCACCCGAAAGCTATAAAGTCGCCACTATATCTGCTGTCCTATAACATCCACAAAATTAGGAACACCTTTAATAAAGTTAGTTCTAAAACGTAAACGATCTGCGCATGCTCAGATATTAAAATAAGGACGGCCCTAATAGTGGCTGACCTTAAGTCACATACTTTGATTTTCTCTTACTATACGGAGAATGGTCGCACTGCGCAGCTTTCTGAGTGCCTTTTAAAAGGAGATAGAAAACTCCGCCATTTTGATACCCTTAATATTTTGCTTGCTGCTGTCAGTGAATATTATTTTTGGAGTCACAGTTTATTGCTAAAGAATCAGTTAGCTCACTCGGACCAGTTGAATGTTCCAAAATAGCATCCACTCCAGAGATACAAATTCAGGATGCGCAGAAGACTGCTGTTTTATTATAGGCGGTTGTCATATATTGTATTATTCGAGTTGCGCAGTGTATAAAATGGAACATTATTGAGATCAAAAGTGCCGACGCAGAGTGAGCGAACTGATTCTTTAGCTATAAACTGTGGTAAAGGCATCAAAATGGCCGCGCCCTATGTTGGGCGTGTCGGACCTCTCCTGCACCGTATAGTAATCAAAGTATGTGCCTTAAGTGAACTTGCAATGTCTCTTTAATGTTGAATAACATTTACATTAATTGTCCAGTCAAATCAATTTAATTTGAACGTAGCAATCTTGATAAAACACATTAAAAAAAAGTCAAGCAAGAAACTAACATTTTGAAGAAATATAAAAAGTATGTGTTTTATATTTGCTGTGTTTGAATATCCACATGGGATGCATCTGAGATGTTGTGATTTTTTTATCAAGTGATGGAGGATTAGATTTAAATGTAGATGTAATAAACAAACGCTCTAGACGTAATAAAAATGACAAGTTAGAAGTTTTTGCCAGATAAATCTCTGCTTTTTGCGTTTGACTTTTGAGACTAGAAATCAACCTAAATTAAATCTAAACAAAACTTAAACAAACTGATCACTTTTATGTTCACGTTGGCATAAACAAAGGATAAATAGATAAACACGTAACTGAACCAAATAAACTGAATCGTCATCTGGACAGGGATTCTTATGTGCTTATTCAACACGTAACGAATTGAATAGAAAGAGACATTACATACGAATCGCATTCTATGGAACGAAGATAGTCGTCTCGACACGTACCGAATTGAAAGATGAGAATCCCAATGCTGGCTTCAAAGAACACCTACTTTACCTGGCAAGGAACGAACATCTCATTTCAAATCGAGATGTAAAACATGTAATCTGGACAGCAACATCTCGGATACATAAACACAGATGCAGATCTATGTAGTTGATGTGTCCGATGTGGATAAACAAACGCTCGAGATGTAAAAAGTGCATCTGATGTGGATATTCAAACGCAGCAATTATCAAAATGAAATTATAATATTGTAATTCAGAACGTCCAAATAAGTGAGCGGTTTCTATGTTAAAAATTCTAGTATATCACTCCAGGAACATTTTCATATTAAAAATTTAATCCTAATAAAATATATTTTTTAGTGTTGTATTCCTACTTAAACCAAATAAACGAAACAATGTTAACAGTATCGATTGAAAAGTCGAAATTCCGAAATTATAACATTTACACTCCGCACGTAAATTCCATAGGCCCGTTTTTGACTGAAGCTTTACAAATAAATGATAAATTAAATTTCACCAAGGAAGACATTTCAAAGCCCGATTTTATTTACCACATTGCTGAGATCGCTAGACATTTTTACGAAAAAACCAGTGTGAATGATGTTTTTCATGAAGGGACTATTTCCAATGTGGGTGTGATGGATATTGATGATACTTACGTTTCTTTAGTTACGTAAGTATTTTTAGTTTAGTTGTCCAACAAAGTAATTGGTTCTTAATAATACACACGTGTGTGTAATGAATGTTAATTGCACTTTTAGATATATGTTGATATAAATGCGTTTTATTACCTATATAATAGGTAGGTATTTACCATGATACAAAAAATTACAGATACCAATGACATCTCGTTGAGTTCGCGCATGACGTGTTGTGGTGTGGATTATGATTATCTGATGCCTCAAATTCGTAAAAGCCACGCCTTCCACCACAATACGTCACCGTGATGTACAGCAACAATCTGCGTAACAGCATACCTTCTTTTTATAGAATCATGGGTAGTTACTTATTCTTTATCTAAAATATAGGTACCCAAGTAATTAATTATGGTGATTATTGCCCCCTAAATAGTTCAATATAATCGAGGAAGAAAACCCAACCTCTCAATGATTTAAATAAAACTCTTAGATAATATACACTGTGGATCAGCCAAATGGAATAAATTCGGTAATAAATAAATAAATAGGGGCGTATTCGGAAAAACGCTCGGACACGTCGATTGGTATTTTTAGTTTAACAAAAACTTTTTATTAAGGGTGTCATGTAACAGTAGCCATTACCAACTTTCTTATTTTAAATGCAACACCCTGTATATTAATAAATTTTTGGATTCTTGTTCCGGAAATATTAAATGTTTTCCGATTTATTGCAAAAATTAACATTAATAAAATAAAATTATTTGATTACAGAAATTCGTTACAACACACTCAAAAACTAATAAGTAATACTAATTATTTCTTGATAATGTAACAAAAAAAAAAAAAAAGAAAAAACATCTCCATGTTCAAAATGCTCGCCGCGAACCTCTTGGCAACATCCCCCCCCCTACAGCAAAAACACATTTCGGAAATATTTAAAAAATGTTGTATTGAAACATTTTTTATAAATATTACGTAACATCCCAGAAACATTTCTGAAATGTGCCTGAATCGTAAAAATGGCCTGTAAATATAATATTTCACAGTAATATTTCTGAAATGAAAATTTGAAATTTTTTTAGAAATATGAAATAGTAATATTTCGGAAATGTATTCTAGTTTTTTTTTTAATATTATTAGACTAAAAAAAAGACATTTAAAAATATACATGTTTATTTCAAATACCAAAACTCAAACATTGATTCTCAAACAAACAAATAAATAATTTTTAAACATTATTTCATAAAATATAAAAGCGAATTGCTTCATTTCCACCAATTTCTTTAAATGCACTAATCTAAAACAACTAGATTTTTTTTAATAAATTCCTCAAGTAAAGAAACATCTACATTATTACAATCTGATCATTAAGATCAATTAGCAATTTTATTCTAACCTAACTTATCTAGGGATGAAAAACTTCACAAACTAAGATTCTACTCACTAGTGTACCTTTAGAGTATAATTATTTAGTTACATTACTCTATACTCTGCTATAATCTAATATCACTGGACTAACTCAAAAAGCTTGGTTCTCTTGAGTCTTCGTATTAGATTGGCATTGTTGAGGAGCTGGATAAGCTCAAGATTTCCATGTCGTTGTTAATGACTACTGGCAAATTTTTGTATTGTATTTTCAACAGTTTCCCCTTTAAGGTCCCTATGATCAGTATTGCGGCAGTATCAGGGTGCATCGATGATGTTCCTTAATACTTTATTCTGGAAATGTTGAATAACTTGGATGTTACTTTTACTAGCACAGCCCCAAAGCTGGCAAATTGCTTCATTTCCACCAATTCCTTTAAATGCACTAATCTGAAACAAATTATAGGTAATTAAAAAGGATTTATACTAATTATTTAATTAATAATGGTTTAATTAATATTGTTTTAAATTAACTATAATAAAACAAACAATACTCATGCCTAAACAAAACATGAAGCTCCGCTTTTCAATCAGCTGTAGTACTAATAAACAAAACTGGTGGAGGTTATATTTAAATAAAAATAAGATTAAAACTGCCTGTAAATTCTCAGAGAAGATGCGTATATGTCAAATTTATTGATGTTCTTGTTAAAAGTTTGGTTAGAATTAAATGTCAATGGAACCAAAATGACATCACACTAAACTGGTGTATTTCTAAAGACATATTCTTCTTCCCATATAACAACAGCACAACGCATAAACAACAAAAACCGAAAACTCAAATCTATAATTATTTAAAAATCTGGCTGGACATAGGATGAAATAAAATAACTACATATCCCATCTTCTTACAAATCAGAAATTCTTCATTACGTGTTAGCCTTTTTCAACATAACCCGTTTAGTAACCTTTTGTGTAACATGTATCCCATGTTTCAGAAACATTTTCAGTGAGATATTTCAGAAACTTGTGTTTGAAATGTTATATGTTTAAAACGTTTGAAATATTTCTGAAACACTTCGGAAATAATGTGATGGGCTAATCTGAAATAAAAATGTCTTCTAACGTTACTCAACATCTCAGGCATGACTGATCTAATCGCAAGCGTTATTCGTCTTCTTAAGTCAGCTAGGTTTTCATTTTTCCGAAACAGTTAGGTATCCGAGTTTTTCCGAACACGCCACCATTTATTTATTCCCGAATTTATTCCATTTGGCTGTTCCACGCCGTACAATTTGTAAGGAGTGGCGGAATACAGACTTTAAATCCAATATTGACCTTTGTGAAGAAAACCGAGAACTATTAGAATCAAACCATGAAGAAGCTGACACAAGAATTCTACTTCATGCACTCTGTACTAAAACGGAAGATTTTTCTACATACGTTATTGACTCTAACGATGTGCCTATTATTTTGGTGTATTTTAAAACCTTCTTCCTAGTGAAATTTGGTTAAAAGCCGGAATCAGAAATTTTACTGGTTACGTGGCAGTTCATGAAATAGCCCTTAACGACAGTCTAATGAAAAACCTACCTGCTTTTTATACTTTAACAGGTTGCGATACGAGTCAATTTACTGGAATGGGAAAAAATGTAATAAAATTATATTCTTTTAATATATTAAGAAGTTTAATGGCCTCTTCAACAGTGCTATCTAGGCTACTCCTAACAGACGATTCCTTACGCTTTCATGTCTTAAGAGCTTTTTATCAAACCAAGATTTGGCTAAACTCTTAACCAAAATTTGGGACATATGTATCAAACATTATCAGAACTATAATAGATTATCTACAAAAAAATAAAGGCTGATCGTGATAATATGAGCTGGGCTAGTTTCGTAGCGATAGAGATATGTTTATAATCATAGGTGCAACTAAGTTGGGATATACAAAGCGATACGGACGGAGACACCGTTAGCCGACTGTAGATCACCCACGGCAGCCGTTTTAATTGATTTGTTTTATATTAATTAACTTAAGTTGATTATTATAAGATATAAAAATAAGGTTGATGTTTTCTTATGATCTAAACACATTTTAGAGTAACTTTTTTGTTTTAAAAGCTTGTTTAGCTAATTTCGTAGTGTAAATAAAAATTACATTTTTCGCAATTTCTTCCTAAGATAATGGTGGGTCATCTATTAGTTAAATGACATCGTAGTTACTCGTGTAAATTTCATTTATCGTGTAAGAAACACTTTTTCCACGACCAAAATGAATTTTTTTTTAAATAAATTGTTGAAACGATATAAACGTCTTTTTTTATTTCAATTTCAAACTTTCTGATTACAAAAGTAAATAATTAACGACATTGCAATTAGAAATATTAATAGATAGTAAATCATGGACTTTGTTGGTTTTTTCTGGACAGAGTCGGAACATCTGGGGGATACTTTATAGGGGGTCGTTTTTATGTTATGGAATATATCTGTTAAGTTACATTTGGAGAAGAAAATTCCTCAAATTAAAGTTATTTTTAATATATATTCTCTATAATTTTTGACCAACACAAAATTTTCATGAAATGAACCGTATTCGAGAAATTTTACAAAATGTAAAAAATTCAAATTTTTAAGAAAATTGTTCAAATAAAGTTTTGTTAGATTATTTTTTATAATTCCCTGTTTTATACATAATTTCTGTAAAATGGACCGTATTCGAGATATTTGAGAAAATGTGTATATTTCGAATTTTGAAGAAAACTCAAAAATGGATAAAGAAAAAACACCAAATTTTAAACTTAAACTTTATTTGGAGTGAGGGTAGCCATATGTGAGTAGTAGGGATTAAGTGTAAAGGTTAAAGAAAAGGTCCTTTATTTCTCACAAGTCAATTTATTGGCAATAAATTGACTTGTGAGAAATAAAGGACCTTTTCTTTAACCTTTACACTTAATTAAACTTTATTCTGGCCTGCAGTGAATGGATTTGATTTATGGCAGAGTCGGAATAGTTGGGGGGGGGGGGGGGGGCGGTACTTTATAAGGGTTTGTTTTTATATTTTATGGAATATCTGTTATTTACGTTTAGAGAACAAAATTCTTCAAATAAAAGTTACTTCTAATATTATTCTCTATAATTTTTGCTATATACAAAATTTTCCTAAAATGGACCGAATTCGAGAAATTTGACAAAATGTAAAAAAATCAAATTTTTATGAAAATTGTTCAAAGTTGTTTGCAATATTTTCTATATTTCTATAATTTTTGATTTATACATGATTTTTTTTAAAATGGACCGTAATGAAAAAATTTGAGGAAAGTTACAAATTTAAATTTTTCAGTATTTTAGTTGGCAATGAATATAAAAAAATGTTTCCAGTAAGAAGTATGTGAGACTTGTATATATTTAGTTTATCCTCTGAACATTTACAGAGATGATACAATAGGTTGTACAAAATAACCGGAAAGAGCCAGTAATAACTAGATAGGAATAAAGTCATGTGTTGAACAAATCAGATTTTTTTGAGTAATGGCCCAATTATTACTTCAAGCTTATATTTAATTAAATGCGTTCTTAGGATTATAAGATTGTGTTTCTTTATTGGTACTAAAGGTTATACAATTTCTTCAGTGCACTACACAGTGAAATAACCATGTGGAATAATATTTAT